ACAGAGAGGTCCCAGCCCACCCACACATGTCCGTTAAAATAAAAACCCCCAACCCCTTCTTGGGGCATCCTTAGCTCTGCCCGTGTGCTGGGGCAGTCCAAGTGCAGCTGCAAAGAGCCTTGGAGCAGAGGTCTGTCCTCGGGTCGGGCATGAGCCATCCCGATGTCCTGCTTTCCCCGGCCCGGCCCCTTCCCCACCTTCCTCGCAGCCTTTTTTTCTTTGGGTTGGGATGAGCCGTGTCGCCTTGACTCACCTCTCTGTATCTCCGTACCCGCTGCCTGCCCGCTCTCGCCGGCCTGCCCGCTCTTGCAGGATTTGGAGGTTAGCAGACTGGTTTTTACCCCGGCTTTGGGCTGTGTCTGGCTGCTGCCCGGTTATTTCTCCCCTGAGGTTTTGACCTGCCTGCTGGCTGCCCCACCAGCCCTGCCTGTCTCTTGGCACCTCTCCCTCCCAGCGGGGCTGGTGCCGAGAGCGGAGCTTCATCGGAGGTGAACGCTTTGGAGGGTCACGGTGTTCCCACCACCCTCCTGGGTTCACTTGGGATGGGGATAACCGCAGATCCTTATCCTGGAGGGTTCCCTGCTTGGCACCGCTGCGCTGAGCTCTCCTTGCTTGCCTGCGGGTTGAGGGACAAATGGAGTTCAGAATTGTCTAATGTTTAATCTTTGAGCAAATAACCCAAAGGGGCTCGTACCGCTTAGGAGAGGACGGTGTCATAGCGGGGGGAACCGCTCACCGTCAGGTCAGACCCCAAGAGACGGAGTGCGTGCGTGCCCCTGCCTGCCCCCCTGCCCTCCCTGCCTGCGCCGCATGTGGATCTCTCCGCTCCTCATCCAGGCGGGGGGAGCACCGGCAGCCCCAGGGAGGGTGTTTTTAGGGGGCTCGGTGCCTTTTAATATCTTCTTTTTATCCAGGCGAAATAAGGAGCCGGGGGTCACCCTGTGCCCCGTGGAGGGGGGATGCTGGAGCATGCAGGGCTTTGTGCTTTGGGGCTGGTGGCTCACTGGTGTGGGCAAGGTGCCATGACCCCCTCTCCTCCTCTCTCCCTGCAGTTGTCCCTGAAATGCCGAGCGCCGGAGGTGTCCCAGTACATTTACCAAGCCTACGAAACCATCCTGAAGAACTAAGGTGCTACCGCAGCCCGTCCTCCTCCTCTCCTCCCTTTCCTGCCCGAGGAAGCGGGGCAGGACCCGTGTGCATGTCTCCTCTCCTTCCTGCCAAGGAACCAGCTCCTGGGAATCTCCCTCCAGCCCTGAGGCCCCGAAAATGGAGCCAGCGCTCCCACCTCCCGTTGGGCTGGGGTGGGTGGAGGAGGGCAGGGGTGTCCCTGCCAGTCCCTGCGTCCCTGTAGAAATCTGTGTGTGAGTAATGCGGTGTCCTCCTTGCTGGTGTTGCCCCATCAAGAGCCCTGTTTCACTCTCTGGGTCCCTCCAACTGCTTTTTCTACTGAGCCTGCTGCACTTGGGGGGCTTCTCTCCTCCTCCCCCATGTGCCCCCCACGTCCCCGCTGGCTCTGGGTCTCGTGTCTGCCCGTGGTGGTGCCTGGTGAAGGGTTCAGCACTCCTCATCCCTGGGAATAGCACCCCGGGGCTCGCTCTGAGCCTCTTTGGTGCCGCTTGGCACCCAAAGTGCTCCATGTCCCTCCGGAGCCCTGGCTCCCTCCTTCCCCTGCGGCAGCTCCTGGCTGTCCCCGCTTTTGTCCCCTGGTCCAGGAGAGCCATGGGTGA